ATCGTGATTTCCAAAACGAGTACCATACCGTTGTGTCCGTGTGTCCATTTCTGAGAACTTTCTTGGAATTTTCTGCTTTTCACACATTACAATGATTCATTGAAGGCCACACCGACACATAGCCGGCCACGCCCACTTTTTAACAGGTTTGTTTTATATTTAATTATATATTATAATATTATAATATTTATATTTAATTATATATTATATTTAACTTACAAACACACTCTTCACATATTGCTAGAAATCGCGAAAATCGATCCAAAGTGGGCGAAGCTAAGTGTGCGGAGCCTTATCCATCTTCGTGTAATTGCTTGTCTGTGAGCAATATGTGAAGAGTGTGTTTGTAAGCGTCAACGTTGAGATAAGGTATGAAAATTAAATATAAAACAAACCTGTTAAAAAGTGGGCGTGGCCGGCTATGTGTCGGTGTGGCCATCAATGAATCATTGTAATGTGTGAAAAGCAGAAAATTCCAAGAAAATTCTCAGAAACGGAAGTTATGGTACACATTTTGGAAATCACGATCGCGCTAAAAAGTGGGCGTGATCGCAGAGGGCGGGGCATGAGATGGCATCCAATAGGGTCAAAGATGGTTGAAATAGCAGTCCCTACACGATTGACTTATCATTTTGCGAAATTTGACATAGCGGCAAAAAAGTGGTCCACGAGGGACAATATGAGCCACCGGTGGCTCAGGCCGGACGCATGCGAAAGCACGCCATTGTCCCACGTGGCGTGTTAAACACCAGCAGACAAAGTCAACGCTGAGACACATTTGAAACTATCTTTTCCGAATAAGAATGAAATCTAGCAAACGAAGCAATCTTGCCAATTGTAACATCATATAAGTTCAAGTTTGAGAACAACTATACCGGAACGTCTTCCCGTTTTTGTCAGGCTGGTCTTTAGCTAGCACCGGCGCTACAGCTACAAGCACTTGTAATGCTTGAAGTAAACGATGCGGTTCAGTGAGTGTCTCCAGGGCAGGGTAGACGCTGAAAAAGGAGCTTTACACTTCATGTTCGGTTTTCTCCAAACCTGAACAAAACCGAACAAAAAAAGGAAACAAAACCTACACGTCAAGAACGGCAGGAAGTACAATTTTCGGACTTATACTGCAGCAACACTTCACTATTGGAGCCACAAATCTGAATTTCGAACAACCTTATTATTATTAGTTCATATGATTTATAAAATCGACAGAGGTTTGTGGAAATTTAGATAACGATAACGTACTCATTTCGTGCTTTCGAGAACATGGCTAGTTTCAGGCACGGCAGTATTTGCGTGACAAACTCGTCAAGGTGAGCTTGCGTAAGCCGCATCGAGGCCGGAATCTGAAAACAGATGTGGGAGTGTCGAAACTAGTCATAAGAGCGTATGGAAAAATGTCCAGAAAATCCATGCAAGATTAACGAGAACGCTGCGTTATGGGCAAAAACCTTGAGCCCAGACAGTACTCGTACCCGTAATCTAGGGTTCCTCGGCGAGTTTGCTATCCGTTACGTCACCAGGCCCTGCTGACACTCTGAGCTGGACGGCTTTTATGCCGTAGCCTTACAGTACCAATCCGGAAAGCGCAAGGTGCGGATTTGAGTCTCGCCTGCAGTCAGGACTTTCGCCCCTAACACAGCGTTGTCGTTCTACCTTCCAGCGCGAACTGCGCCAATTAATAGCAGCCATCATAATAAAACAACTCATGCGAAAATGTTTTTGAGCATACCTTCACAAATGTCCGGGACTTGCTAGAAGTCTTCTCCATTCGTTCCCTCTTTACACGCGACAGAACGCATAACGACAGCCTGCAACAAAATACAATTCTTGGTCCATTGAAAATGGGACACAGTTACAAGGAATCTGTATTACAAAGCCACAAGGAATATGTACTACAACAAAAAATTGCACAAAATTCACAAGAGTACTTACTTATTCATAAAAACTAGCAGATGTTGTGTGTGCATGCCATGATTTGATGGATGCAAATAAGATTCCACTAGTTGAAAAACTGATTGCAAGTTCTTCATCAGTCTAGAACGTTCAAAATTCTCATATCTAGCCGTTCCGAGAAAACTAGTCAAGTACGAAATGCTAGCAAGCGGTAATGTAAAACAGGCTCACTTCTCATGACACTGGGTTCCCATTGCATACGTAATGAAACCTGATGCACCTTCTGAATTGAACTGCTGGCAAAGCCCTACGACGCTACCGAGGCGAAATGATCGGATCAGCTGAAAATAACACTAATTCACTAAATGCGATGGAAACATAATTTGGAACCAAATGATCCGTTCCTTGCAACCAGAGCACGTCCTGCCAGTGGAGAAATTTTTTTAAAGTATACGATGAACTACCCTAAATTTCTGCCTCTGGCACGACTCCTTCCTTCCCCATCCTACCTACCATTTTTCTGCCAAGTTCAACAGGCTTTTTCTTCCAAAGGCCTTATTTGTCTAAAAATCTCCAATCCGGAAGGAGGGTAAGGCACTTGAAGCAGGAGAACCGATTGAAGTCAACAACCGAAAATATTCTTTCCAAAGGCGACTAGCACAACACCCTCCCTCCAGCGACCAAATAAGACTCCTTTGTTGTGACCCCCAACGCATGACGCGCCCAGTTCGAACATCAAAGTTGTTTTTCAGGGATTTTGACCCAATACTTACATTTCTTAGGGTCTCCTCAAGCCCTGCGACCCGAAACCTCTGAAGTTCAATACATATGGACCCACTGCACAACCTTAACGCTCGAGCTGCCCGTGGGAGTTTTGTATCCGAGAAAGGTTAGTAGTTTTTACGACTTTGTCTTACGACTTCTTACACCCTGTTCCCTTACTGTGCCTAAAAATGAATATTGAACGAGATCCTCGATTTTGCAGGCTCCTATGGAGGCGGTTTAGCTGAAAACACTAGCATAACAAAGCGTGTGTTTCAATTTCGCGAGGCAGACAGACCATACTGAAATTATGATGTTGCTCAAGAACCCATAAATAATCACCTTCGTAAAGATGACATCGAGTTTGTCTGTCCAATCAACTGATCCTGGACATTCAACGGATAATCTGAAAGTTCAATTGGGATTTCAGTATGACGCTATCACTCAGACATAATGAAAGCGTGAATTTTTAATAGCTCCACACTCACCGTACAAACATCTTGAGGATGGACGCTTCGACCAAATTGTTGTTCTCCACTGTTACGAACCAATGCCATGCCTCATCCAGCCACAATCCGCTCCCTTAAAAGTCTTTTCAATGCAGGATCTAACGGGGTTTGCTCGAAATTTGAAAACGAAGTTGAATAGTCATTACCATGAGTAAGCTG